AACAGCGGCGACAGGAAGCAGAGAGCTCCACAGGGAAGTCTCAGCTCACTAGCACAGACCTCTGATTGCAGGATTTTAATCAAGCCTGAAGCAGCAGTGGATGCTATCACCACATCCCGTGACTTCATTAGATTTTTCTGTTCACCTGTCTCGGTTCTCCTTCTCCTCCTGGACGCTGACAGTGTTTTGTGAAAGTTGGTCCAAAGCAGAGAGGACACAGAGCAGCAGACGACGCCTGTTGGGACACTTTCAAATTTGAATTTAATTTAAAATTGATGATTAGAAACCAGGTAACCAGTACACACTTGGAAACACAGTCACAATTTTTTTCCCTCATTATCATTCAGCCACCCACCATCACCACCACTACTGCCATCACCACCATCACCGCCCCCCACATCGTTTTTTTTTTTCCCTTCCCTTCCTGTTCTCCCATGGTTGTCATGGAGACAACAACGGTTGTGTATTAGCCACAGAAGTAAACCAGGGGGGATTGAAGGAGGTGGGAGCGGGCCGTGTGGAGTGGCTCGCAGCCAAGTGGAACATCGCGGAGGCACAAGTCTGCCAGATCAAAACCAAGAGGGGACTCTTCAGCTGCTAAAACGCTCCGCCGTGTTCAGCAGCTAGTCGCTAATGTCTGTCTGTCTCCTGTTTGGTGCCGGACACGTGCTGCACAGTTGTGTTTTCGCAAACTTTGTTATTGCTCAAACAGCTGCTTTGTGAGCGCCTGACACTGATACTGCTAAAATAAAGCTGAGGGCGAAAATGAAAAACAGACACAGAGTCATTTGATCCGTTTGTTTAAAGCTTCTCCAGTGTAAAGGTCTCTGTCCATGTGTAGGTGTGATTATAGATCAGGTCTAGCTTCTATATTAATACTGTGAAAAAGTATCAAAGCCTCAGTCACAGAGAAATGCACACAGCCTGATTTCGAAACTGCCTTAAACCAGCCCGCAGGACTTCTGGAACTTGTGATGTCCAACAAAGCAGTAACGCCCATGACCCACATCCAAATTCGGATTGGTTTCTCTAGTTTTACCTGATCTCTTTTTTATGATCTCAGACATGAAATCGAGAGGCTAGAGATTCTGGATTAAATAAACACAGAAAAAAGAATATGAGCTTTAATATGTCCTTGGCAACGGACTTAAGGTGTCCACATACAATGGCCAATTTTGTGAATTAGTTTATTCATGTTATAGTTGTCTTTATGATACCGACCTTTAAAAGAATTTTGCTCCAAATGTAATAAGCATGGAACTGGAGCCTGGGGTGATTAGCTTTAGCTTAGCATAAAGACTGGAAGGGACCTCTCAACACACAGTGTAAAATATAGGAACTTCAAGATAAAATTGATATTATTGATAAGAGCAGCTTTAATCAATTATGTTATAAGTCGTGATTTTTTTCTGCAAAACATCAGTTTCCGATTCTTCACAGTTGCAGGATTTTTGCCCCGTTTACCTCTGAGTCATTTTATGTTTCAGGTGCTGCTGCCTAATAATTCCCGCTGAGCGACTGCAATGGGGGGGGGGGGTGGAGAGTGGTTTCCCTGCTCGCATCTCCTGGGCTGCCGTACTCAGCAATTGTTGCTTATGGCACCAAAACTCAGTTGCTCATTGGAATTTGGGGGGGGGGGGGTTAAGTCGACCAAAAACTGACTCTGTTAACATTTACAGATCTATTTATACGTTGATAAAAAAAAAAAATTACACAACAAGATGTCTGATTCCGTACACCGAGACTCTGGCAAGACTTTGACAACACTCATTACTGTACCAGCTGACATGGTCATGTGGTGGAGCCAATAATAAGGCCAGAGAAGAGAAGCAGATGGGGAAATCATGTCTGACTTACAGTATGCGCCAAGGGCAATGGGAAGAATAAGACAATGTGTGTGTTGTGTGTGTGTCTTGTGTGTGTGTGTGTGGGGGGGGGGGCAGGATATAAAGGGGGAGGAAGGAAGTGGAAAATAGACAATTGACTGTAATGAGGAGTGGAGAGAGGAATTAGATTTAGAGGTGTGACATGGGAGAAAGTGCAGGAGAGACGTAAAGAATGTGGAGATAAAAACTGAGAGAAGGGAAGAAAGGTAAATGAAATGAGGCTCTGAGGAGGATGAAAGGCTCAGAGGAGCCACGGAGGTCAGACCGGAAGAGATGCAAACACTGCCAGGAAGATAAAAAAAGAGGAGCTGGAGGAAGTGGAGAGGATGGACCCGGTTGTTAGAGGATTGTTAAATAAAGTAAAATGAATTTTTATCTCGTTGAAAGCCCTCCATCCAGAGAACAGGAAGAGGAGAGGATGATGGGAGTTTTTCTGCACTCAAATTCTTTTTCCTTGTCGTACGCAAACAATGATCAGGCTGCGCACACACACACACACACACACACTGAACTGACACATGATATTATCAAATGCATGGCCACACTCCCACACAGTGTCCTAATTAAGAGCACACGCAGCAGCGCAGCGTAAGCGTGCCTCATTCAGAGGTGGCAATCGCTGTTTATTAACATTTGCACTCTGCAGTTGTTAATTTAGCCTCTAATGATTTGTTTCTCAGCAGCTGAACCGCACGAGCGCAGAGAGTGACCACTCTGCAGAAAAACACTACACAAATACCAGAGCACATGTGTATGTACAAAGGGATTCTCATAAGCAGCATCTTAATGAGCAAATGTAACGACCTACTGCAAACACCTTGTACTACATTATGCTCCATAGTAAACAACAACTGATATGGTTTATCTTCCCTGCTGCTTTAGAGACACATTTCCAACACTCTAAAGAAAACACTAACATACAAAAACTGATTACACTCAGACTGTTTTCTGAGTGATCAATAAAAATATAGCAGATTTCAGGTAAAAACACTCAGAGAAACCAAATCCTGCAAGGTTTGGATGGTGGGTCCAGGTGGGCGGGGCTTGGTGACTGCTTTGTTGTGACATCACAAAGTTCCAGAAGTCCTGACGGCTGGTTTTAAGGCTCAGTTTCTGAATACAGGCTGTGTGCATTTCTCTGTGGACTGAGGCTTTGATACTTTCACAGTATTAATATAGAAGCTAGACCTGATCTATAATCACACTACACATGGACAGAGACCTTTACACTGGATGGAGCTTTAATGATGGATGAAACGACTTTGTGTCGCTCGATGTGACGAATCATCACTGATGTTGTATTTTCTCTCTCTCCTCTAATCGGAGCAAGTCTCTGCAGCCAGGTTCCAACATCTTGTAAAATGCCTTCCCAGAAGAGCTGTCCACAAACTTTTGGCCATGGTGTGCACAAAATCCATTCTGCTACACACTTTTAGCAAGTTTGTGATAGTTCTTGAGCTCCTGGAGTCAAGTGGTGGAGAAGTTAATGTGTTGTAGTTCTTCTTCCCTTTATCTTCTTCTACTTAAAGTTAGTGACTTCCTACATTTCCCAGAATGCCAACCGCTCAGAAAAACAGGCATAAACTTGTTGGATTCAGCTCTTGGCTCTGTGTGTAGGTGGAGAGTGCAACAGTGATAAAGATAGTAAGAGCAAGGGAGCGAGTTTTTCCCACTTGAAAACAAGTGAGAGTCCACAGCATGTCTAGTGCTGCTTGTTGTTCTGCTGCTGTCAGGAGAGGAGCTGCTGTTTGTGTCGCCTCTACAACACATTTCTCTGTGTGTGTGTGTGTGTGTGTGTGTGTGTGTGTGTGTGTGTGTATGTGTGTGTGTTTGTTCAAAGTTGGTACAAAATGTTGTCTGCAGGAAGGAGCTGCAGCTCTTTACCTCTGAGGGACTGACAACAACACCTGATGTTTCCATTTCCTGTGAGGAAGAATCGTCTGCTGCGTTTCTGTGCTGCGTTCAATATGATCATCTATCGACTTTCATGTATCACCATGATATCATATTAGTAAGGTGATACAAAACCGTGTTGTCGCAACTGATAACTTCAGCAATGCTCTTGTTTTACAGGCCTGAAGAGAGACGTCTTACATAACAGCTCATTTCACCATATTGATCTGTGCAGTGTCACCAAACAACAAACAGCATCAGCAGTTTCCTTCCAACTGAACTTTTCTTTACATCCACACTGTAACTGTTTTTAAAAATTGAGGTAAAAAGATGATTACCCTCAAACGCTACAGAGCAGATTATTGATCCTGCACTTCAATAAAAGTGAAGTGTCACTTGGAGGGAAACGAAGCTGCAGGGGAACATCAGCGAGGAAACGGAAGATAAATCTAGGCCACGGCTGAAAACCTGAACGCTCCATCACTGACTAACACCCCGATGTGGTCTCCGCTCGGGCCCAGGCTCACCCCCTTCATGAAGCGCTCCAGCTAATGAAGCGCTCCACTGGAGTGGCTGTGGAGGACAGCCGAGGACCCCGTGGGACTGCCTTTCATAAACGCCCGCCTGAATACGGCTCTTTTGTAACTCAGGCGGAGGTTATGAGTCAATCATGGCAGAGAGGAAGCTCCGAGCACTGCTGGGCTGTTTTGTTTTTTACCCCTGCTGAAGCAGATTCACTTCAGCCATTGCAAACACAAACACACAAGCAGATACACAACACCTGCTCATACAATTATGCACACACGCTCGAACTTTAGCACTTCCTGTACAATTGTGCATCACTTTTATGTGCATGATCACATGAAAACCTTCTAACAGCAGGTTCGGTGATTCACACACACACTTCCTCATCCTCACTGCAGATAATAAACACGCCGTGTTCTCTAATAGTTAGTGAAGACACCCGCTCTCCTCTCGACACTGTTTCCCTCAAACAAATATTGGCCGGGAAGACATTTGCAACAATCCCTGGTTGCAGCTGACCTTGACCATTTTGCACACTGTTGCCATGGTAACAAATGAGACGAAGAAAATGTGCTGCTACTAAAAACGTTGTTTGTTTTTTTTTTCCTACACTGAAAGCTGAACAATAATCTTAAATCGTTTACATGCAAATTGTTATGAAGATGAGATGTGTGTTTTTGTTTTTTTTGACTCTACCTGAAATGGACTCTGGCTGTTGTAGTTCTTCACTTCCTTGTCAGCTCCACGAACAAGCAGCACTCTGGCACAGTTATCCTGAGGAGGACAGAGAGAGAGAGAGAGAGAAATGATTAAAATGAAGCTGAAGAAACGACAGAAAGAAAAAAAAAAACACTCAACACTGAAGTCCTTTAATTCTCCTACTTTGTTCAGGAGAGAGGAGGATGATTAGCTTCCAGTCACATTTAGCAAAATTTCCCCCAGAAGCAAAAAAGAGGAAGTGAGGAGAGCAGGAGCTGGAGAGTGTGTGTGAACGTCTGAACATCCCAGCACTGACACAGGAATATGAGGAAAAGACAACAGAACATCTATTACCTATATCAGGAATGGAGCTTCACTCGCTGTTAAGTGTGTATCTATTGCTCCACTCAAAGAGAAAGAGGGAGTGAGGGCGAGAGAGATAGATAGATAGAGAGAGAGGGAGAGAGAGAGAGAGAGAGAAAGAACAGAGAGATGGAGAGTGCTGAGGGGTTTGAATCTACTGCACAAATCGCCCACAAAGTGCTCAACCACGCATGTACTGTGCACACACACACATGAATATAAATACTTTTTTTAGATCCACAATAAGCTATTGAGAGTTGAAACATCGCTCTGAGTCTCAAACAGATCCTGATACACAACCACAATCTGTGCAGCGCTGTTAGTATTACAAACATCTCTGTCATTAGACGTTTAACATCTTATTTTAAGACGTGCATCAGTGTGTTATTTTTACTCACGGACGTTTCCATCTGGAGTGGAGCAATCCCACGACATGGTTTTTTTTTTTATATACAGGCTACATTTATAATGAAGCTTTGAGCATGGAAAAGTGTGACATATCACAGAGCTGTGAACTGAAGCAGAGGCATTTTTACAGTCAGAAGATGATTAGAAGAAGAAGAAGAAGAAGAAGAAGAAGAAGAAGAAGAAGAAGAAGAAGAAGAAGAAGAAGAAGAAGAAGAAGAAGAAGAAGAAGAAGAAGAAGAAGAAGAAGAAGAAGAAGGGACTGGAGATGATTTAGATTTATTTATTTTATTGTATTTTATTCTAGATCCACATCAGCCTGCGCTGTAACAGTGGCTCCTCTTCCTCTTCTGCGTGAGAGGTCAAACTCTGCGTCCATGATGCTGAGGAAGTAGCAGCTCGGACACCATGAAAACTTTAGCTTCAAATGGATTTTCCTTGTGCGTTTCATGTTGTGTTAGTGGCTGACGGAGGACGGTCCTCGCACACTCACTCTCGCCAGACGTTTTTAGTTTTTTTTTAAAAATGTTTTTATGCAACATCCTGCGCTGGAATCTGCTCAGAGTACTCCATCTATCAAGGAGTGAGAGCTCATGAATATTTATCACGTACAGTAAAACAGTCTAATAGAATAATCCAGGTTACATCAACCCCCTCTGTTTCACAGATGCAGCCATCATTATCACTGCCTCAGCCTTCCAGCTTTAAATGATGTGCCTGGGGATGTTCGATATTATTACTATTGTCAACAAATCCCATTAAATTACCAAAACCAATAATGATTGATCCTACAAATAAGTATTTATCTGATATAAACCTGACATGTTTTATTCCTTCCCTGATTGTATGTCCATAGGATCCCTGTTAGCATCCAGTGGTTAGCCTTCCTGGGGTCCTCGTGGTTCTTCATGACTTAAATTTTGACTTTTTTAATTATTTGATTTTCAAGGATACATTTGGTCATACATCATATTTTCCCTATTGTCAACAAATCCCATGAAAAGACCAAAACCAGCAATGAATGTCTTTTACTAATAAAAGTTGTGTTTGTGTAAAAAAACTCACGAGAACGCAAAATGTGGATTCATCTGCAGCTAAAAATAGTCCCCAACAAATGCACTATTATCTCCTGTTTGAGTAATGCGTGCTTATTTTTGTCTTTTCATTGCGTTTGTTGAGAATAAGAAAAGTACACAATAATCGCAGCCTCATTTTTAAGAATTGATTTTATTGATTTTAAATTAAAGGTTCTGTAAACGATCGTCGTGCCACTGCTGAATAAAGTTTCCCTGTGAACACGAGAGCCAACAAAAAACAATCTAGACACAACAATTAGCCCACGCTAGCAATGCTGTGATATGCTCCACAGCAATGTTGACCGTTAGCTAGCTAGCGATAGCAACATTTGCCGAACACACACACACACACACACACACACACACACATATATATATATATATATATATATATATATAATTCAAAAAAGTCTTGATTGATGGACTGATCCACTGAAACAGGCCGCACCAATGACACTGATGGAGCCAGTAATGACACTGATGGAGCCAGTAATGACACGGATGGAGCCAGTAACGACACCAATAAAGCCAGCAATGACAAAGATGGACCCAGTAATAATACTGATGTAGCCAGTAATGACACTGATGGAGCCAGTAATGACACTGATGGAGCCAGTAATGACACTGGTGAAGCTGGTAAAGACTTTTAAAACAGGATGTTTTGAAGAGGATCTGAGCTTGTAGTCCTCAGCCCAGTCCACTTATGATCTGGTCTCATGTCTTTGTTTGTCTGAGTGGAGGGAATTTTTGCAGGTCCCTTTCACCTGAACGCTACACTATATCATCTCACCTGTGGGTGGAGCCTGTGTGTTTATAAACGTGGGGAGGACTCACATGCACTAACATGCACATGCTACCAGACCGGCTACCCAGACCAGAGAAACTCACATTACATCACACACAGAGGGGGTGCGACTTCATTCTCTGTTTAGGATGCCATACATCTTTAAATAGAAAACAGTTGTTTCCTGTTGTGTTATTGTTTAAAATCTCATTTACAGAACCTTTAAAACTGAGCCTTTCCCTCCTCCATGCACTGACACTGATGCAGCATTTCATCCCTCTCCTCAACACTCTATATAAGCAATAAATGGAAGATGGTGCGAGATTAAGACCATTTCCTAAAGGTCAAAAGCACAGGGGACCTTTGCTACAGAAACAGAATTATCTTTCTTAAGTGGAACTAAATGTTTGACTTGATTCAAACACACTAAGTCTGCCTTTGATCCGAAGCCAGAGTTCTGTTCTGAACTGGCCACGCTCCAAGGGCAGTGTGTAAAGTGGTCTCAAATGAGTGGCTGTACAAACAAGTGTTAGAGGCTGCTGCTGACCTTTAGCTGGAGGGCAAACTGACAGGTTTAAGTGAAGTGGTCTTTGAGATGCTTCAACGATTCTGTGCACATTCAGTTACTGGATGAGGCTGGTGTTATTTTCTTATCATTGACCAATCCCACGAAAAGATGAAAACCAACACGTTGTTAGTCCGTGTCTCGATACTTTCTCAGTTCCCTCCCCTGAAGTCTTAAAAAACAACTCACAAATATAAACTTTTATCATTAAAAACTTGAGGTAACTGTAGTTTTTAACAAACGTTATTCAAACAGAGGGAAACTGTTCATTTGTTGGGGACTATTTTCAGCAGCGGACGAATACATAGTCAGAGTTCTAGTGAGTATTTGGGGCAGCAGGACAGTGTGTGTGGGAATCACCTGATGGAGTCAATGGAGCTGTATGGCTCAGACTAATAAAGTACCTCAGGCTTTATTACACACACAGTAATTGGTGTTTTTCCTGGATTAGCTTATTTAAGAAAACACAGAATATTGTCAGATTTGTCCTAATTATAGAAGCTGAATCCAAGATGGCGCAGTCAGACGCAGCGGCCCCACACTCTTCAGGCTTTGGCAGTTGTTTTGTTTTCATTGTGTTTCTACACTTCTTTATTCTGGCTCTCCTGCACATTGACAAAGAGCTGCTAAACTGACTTTTGTTGTTTTTTTTAACAATGACAGTAAAAATCTATTCTATTCAATTCTATCTGTAGAAGAAATTCAAGTCATAGGTGGAAGCTAACGGAGGAGGAAGCTACACTCAGTGAACCCTGGGGTTAGGAGCAAATCCCAAACAGAGGTATCAGGAATTAGTTTTCATGCAGCTCCATGATATAAATTCACACATAATAAGATTAAACCACATTTAAATCGTTGACTTTCCACATCAACATTGGAACGTAGATTTCACCTGAGGTTCAGTCTCACAGTTTAACTGTTTAAGGTAATTAGAGGCAGACTGTGACTGGGCGGTGGCGTTGTACTCTTGGGGAAACTCAGAGCTGCAGTGGCCTCAAAAACACAAGCTAGTATGATAAATAACATGCAAGGAGAATTGTAAATAAATACCCCCCCCCCCCCATGGGAGAAAGGGAACAAAGAGTTGTTTTGGCGTCGTCAAGGTAACGTGATGTGTCCCATTCCCCTTCATACCATTTTGAGCCCTTGCAGCCTCCCACACTCACTGATCACTGACCAGGTGACCAGGTTCAGGACTCAGGTGTTAGCGGGACATGAGTGAAATGAGCTGAAGCAGCTGAGCAGCAGCCGTGATGATCAGAGCTGAGGAAAGGAGCTTCAGTGCTTCCTATCTTGCCGTCCCCACAATTCCTTGTCGCAGCAACGTTTAAAGTGACGCACCGTTGTAGTTTCACCGCGGCAGAGCCACGTAACTATAGAAACAACAGAGCAGCTGTTTTATGTTTGTGACTCGATCCAGAACTGATGGAAATCCTCGTCTGATCGACTGAACTCCAAATCCATAGATAAATATTTCTTCTCTTTCAGATCTGTCCGGTTTGGATTCATCATGAAGAACAACAACACACAACACAAACATCTCCCACTGTGTGAAGCACTAAACATGAATTTTCTCTATTTAACAAATGCATAAAAATGTCAAAAGCGCCGCCAGGAAATTATAAACTTATGTCTGAATAAAATTTATTCTGGTCCTTACTGTTTTATTGAATTATCATTTTAATGTCTCATCTTTCTCTGCTTGTGTATTCCTTTAATGTTTTCTTATTTCAACATTTCAGTCCTGTCAGTTTTGTGTTTGTCGCTAGGAAAGGAAATGTGTTATTAAGTTATATAAACAAAATGTCTTTTCCTAAGTCCTCATGAATTCTTCTTCACATCTTTCCTTGACCTTTTCCATCGAGATCGAGGAGACGCGGTCAGAGAAGAGATTATTTAGCCTGGGAGAGATGAAAACACTCAACAAACACGTGTCAAGGAATAAAAAACTAAACACAACATCGTCACTATGACAACAATCAGCTGTGAGAAAGGAAAACAAGATGAGCTGGTTGTTTTTAAATCGCCAGTTTGGATAAAAACTCTCCATCAGTCCCGGCGGAGCGCTGGTACAAACATAAGGAATGAGTTTCCTTCATTGTTTACACACAGGTAAATCATTTATATCACCTCAGCTGTTCGTCGTGTGTTTCCCTCTCAGATGTTTTCTGTTGTTCTGTCAGATTTCACCCTCAACTAGTTCATTTAAAGCAACTTCTCAACTTTTATTAGTGAATAATTAATAATCAGAATGTAGTTTGACTTTCGAGCCCGTCAGTGATTAATGAGACACACACACACACACACACACACACACACACACACACACACACACACACACACACACACACACACACACACACGATGCTCCACATTTCTGCTGGAAGAGCTCAGCAGCTTAAAATAGCATCAGGTCGATCCAGTGGTGGTGTGTGCACCTAAACACACACACATCTGTGTCAATGACAGAAACGCACACACACACACGCACGCACGCACGCATGCACGCCCCTGCTCACCTGGTTGTACAGGGCACAGATGTGTAGAGCGGTGTTTCCCGAGGCATTCTGGGCGCTCATGTCTGCTCCGTAGAACAGCAGATGCTCCAGGTGTTGCACGTGGCCATGACGACATGCCTGTACGCACACGCACACGCACACACACACAGAGAAACAAAGTTCACTGTCAGATAAAGCCTTCGACGCCTCCCCTGCCGCAGTGAGAGGGTTTGAACACTAGATGTCAGTGTGCTGCAGAGGAGACAACATCGAGAGGAGAAGCAGCTGCAGCCTGAGTTTGAACCCCGTCATCAGGAGATGGAGGGAAGGACGAGACTCAACAATAATCTGATAAACACGTGTGCGACTCAAACACAATATAACGCACATTTTCACAACAGCAGAACATCCATCAGGGCGAGAAACAATTTAAAACACAGGCTGCTGCTTTTATGAGGCAGTTTTCTCAGTAAATGTCTTTAATGTTCTGGGGTCATGGCGACAGTCAGCTGTTTAGCACAAGAGGGAAAGGGGGGGTTATTTAGAAACGGCCTATTTACACCGTGGCTTATTTCAGAGACGGAGACGTTTGTGCAGGAAGGATAATAACTGAAATGGCTGCTTATCAACCAGAGCAGTTCACAGTGAGAAGAATTCATCATCATCATCATCATCATCATCATCATCATCATCATCATCATCATCATCATCATCATCATGTGAGCAGAGGGACCCAGGCAGGAGGAACATTAGGTTTGATTTGTCTCGACTGTTTTTATGGTTTTAGTTCGACATGAATCTCATGTCAGCTGCTTCAGAGGATTATATTTAAATGTGTCACTGTGCAGACTGATGATCTGACATCTGTAACATCTGTTGGTTGTTCTGTTCATTTAAAGTTATAATCTGTAACTTTCCCACATTAAAACGTCTAAAAACAGTCAGACTTGTCTTCTAAACGTTGTTGAGTTGTGTTCTGACATTATCTCAAATGTTTCCATCAATTCTGAAACCAGAGAAATCTGATTTTCTTCTGATTTTAATCACGGTAACGCTCCGTGTCAGTGACATCACATCCTCTTTGTGCTCGTGTTGTGTTTGACAGAAAAAACAGTCACATTTTTATGATTCACTTTTTACACCTCGGTGGTTTTCAGCATCATGTTTGAACCAGATGAAGGATTTTAGTCGTTGGACGTTTGGATCTGAAGTTATCAGAGAAACAAGCTGAGGACATGTTGGACAGCTCAGCTCCCAGCTGCTGGAGACGTCCACTTTTTAAAGTGAAACTGTTTTATTCAGAGATTCTACTGGTTTTAATCCCCTGGTCTGTTTATGGAGAGGAGGAAACCTCTGTGGAGAATTCAGCTGCTGGTAAAAACCTCCTGAACGTCTGGTTCATAAGTTATTAAAGAAACAATCAGAACAAAGGTTTAGCATCAATCTCAGCTCCAGCTCTTCCCTGAGTCTCTGTCCTCCGTACAGCGTCGCTCAAACTCTGACTTTAAATGTGAAACTGCTTCATTCAGTGTTTTTAACAGTTATATTCACCGGGTCTGTTTGATTTCCTGAACCACTGACACTGAAGGAATCCAAACCGGGAGGAGATTAGACAACATCTCCCATGATCCAACGCTATTTCATGACATCACCCAACGCCGTCTTTTCTTATCGTTCTGATTGAAAGAGGCAGAAGTTACTGACTCTGTGTTCAAACATTAATTTCTCTGGCACATTTGTGCGTTTGGTTTTTGACAAACAGACCTCGGCACGTTAAAGTCTGCGACTGAATTATATAAACTTGAGTTTATTTTCACGCCTCAGATCATCACACAAAATGTGAGAACAGTTGATTTGGCGAGGACACGGCTGTAACAGGATTTATTGTCATTGATGGTGAAGTTTTTACTTCTTCACAGAATACTGTGACCAAAATGACGTCGGGTGATTTTCACATGAACAAACATGGATCACTATAAATACTTAGAAGAGGTCTTTGATGGCCCTGAGGCATTCTGGGTGCTCGTGGCTGCTCCCTGGAGCCAGCGGCAGCCGCTCGGTTGTTCACTGTCCTGTCTGACAGCTGATTGTTATCGTGTCTGAAACGGGACAGATGGGGAAGGCAGAGATTTTGCAACTCGACAGGAAGAGAGATATGAGCAATCTGATAAAGCTGATGGCCTGAACGCACGCGCACACACACACATGCACGCAGCAGTGTGTGTGTGTGTGTGTGTGGAGACGCTCTTAGTTTGTCACTGCTGCAGGGTGGCTCTCTTTAAATGGCTTTATCTACTTCAGCGGGGAACAGCTGCCAAGATGGTCGCCCACAGCCGGAGAAGGCTGCGTGTGTGTCTGTGTGTGCTTTAGTAATGCTTTCACAACACAAGCTGTTCCAGCTGAACACACTGCCAAAAACCTCTCTGTGCTCCTGTGTGTGTGTGTGTGTGTGTGTTTACCTGGTGAACCTCATGCCAGCCGTTCTCGTCCTGGCAGCAGACTGAAGCGTGGTGGTTCAGCAGGAGCTCGCAGCAGCCCGGGTCTCCACCCACCACCACACTGTGGTACAGAGGAGTCAGACCGCGGCTGTCCTTGTAGTCTGGAGATGCCCCCAACTCCAGCAGCGTCTGAGGACGGACAACAGGTGTGTGTGTGTGTGTGTGTGTGAGTGTGTGTGTGTGTGTGTGTGGGTGTGTGTGTGTGTGTGTGTGTGTGTGTGTGTGTGTGTGTGTGTGTGTGTGTGTGTGTGTGTGTGTGAGGGGGTGAGACGGGGGGTCAAAAACATACAGAAAAGGGACGTTTGATTTATTAAGAAAGTTTTGCAGCCAATTCAGAATTATAATCATAACTATCATCATCATTATTATAAACTTTATTTCTAAAGTTCTTTAAAGCTCCTCCAGTGTAAAGGTCTGTGTCCATGTGTAGTGTGATTATAGATCAGCTCTAGCTTCTATATTAATACTGTGAAAGTATCAAAGCCTCAGTCCACAGAGAAATGCACACAGCCTGTATTCAGAAACTGAGCCTTAAAACCAGCCGTCAGGACTTCTGGAACTTTGTGATGTCACAACAAAGCAGTCACCAAGCCCCGCCCACCTGGACCCACCATCCAAACCTTGCAGGATTTGGTTTCTCTGAGCATTTAAAACTACACTGAGATGGTTTTTGGTTCTTAAAACCAGAAATGCATCTTTTGGATATCAACAGAAGAGGAAAATATGGGACCTTTAAAACTAATGTTACAAACTACAAATGATTAAAATATCACAGCTGCTAAAAGTTTAAAATGAAACACAAGAAAGAAAACTGTGATAGTAAATTACCTGTTCATTAAAGTGCACTGTAAGGTTTTGCTTGTCTGACTGATTTATGTTGCAAACATGAAGTGGAAACCATCAGGCTTTTATTGTGAAATCCAGCAGCATGCAGGTGAGCAGGTGTGAAAAGTGTTCCCACTCCTTTACCGTGAGTGTGACGTGGTTCTTGGACCTTGCGGCTTTGTGGAGGGCGGTCATGCCGTCTTTGGCCCTGAAGTCCAGGTGAGCTCCTCCGTTCCTCAGCACCTTGATCATCTCCACCACGCCGTCAAGGTGGGCGGCAAACGTCAGGGGGCACTCTGGGAAAACAAGCCAGACACAGACTTTATGTCTCCCTAATGAGGAGCAGAATAACAGTCATAATAATAATAACAGGTTTTCACAAGCTCATAAACAAAATCTAATAATACCCTGATCTGAATTATCGCAGGTAAAAGCAGCAGCTCCAGAGACTGATACTGAGGATGTGACGGCACAGTTTGTTTTCTGCTTTACGATCCACCTGGGAAAACACTGCTTGTATTCTTCTGTTTGCTTTGTTTAATGTCACACTCTCCAATTACGGGTAAACGAGACGCAGACATTTAATATTTCATGAAGCAGCATCAACCAGGGAAAACACGGTGTCGTTAAGAAAAGATTATTATTTTCTGGAAACTCACAGGTTGAAATGAACATTAGCTAGAAGCACCACAGACATGTCTACATGAGGGGAGCCTGGTCCCAGGGAAGGTTGCCTCAGACTCACCTGCTGCTTCCATCCACACTCACACAGAGTCTGACTCTGTAATTACAGCTGTGAAACACGCAGGTGAAGGATTTGGCAGCTCCGGGGCTAAAAACAGTGATTTCATTCTAAATTAACTGATCCTGTGTTTGTCTTGTTGTTGTGAAGTCGAGGGTGATCTGTCGCTCTCTCTAACAGCGTCTTCAGTTTTATTGTAAGACAGGAAATCTTCAGTTTATCCTGTGGAGACGCCACCCGCCCCTGTAGATGAGGATAATCGAGACCACCTGCTGAGAGGGCAGCGAAGGTCTGAAGACTTTCACCTGGAGAAATGCTGAGGACAGACCGTCTGCAGTTAAAGAGGCTGTTCTGACGATCTGTGAAACTCATTTATTTCACGTCTTTCCATCTATTTCTTCATTTTCTTGCCATTAAAGATTTTTTCTTTTAGTTCTACCTCATCTGATTTAAGGGTCTGAGGAAAGTACCAGTCAGGTTCAGGTCTTAAAGCTCCATATTTTCTTCTTCTTCTGTGTTTTATTTGAAGGGTTGATCCATAAGAAGATATATTTGTAGTTTTAAGAACCAAAAACCATCTCAGTGTAGTTTTAAATACTCAGAGAAACCAAATCCTGCAAGGTTTGAATGGTTCAGGTGGGCGGGGCTTGCTGACTGCTTTGTTGTGACATCACAAAGTTACAGGAAGTCCTGACGGCTGGTTTTAAGGCTCAGTTTCTGAATACAGGCTGTGTGCATTTCTCTGTGGACTGAGGCTTTGATACTTTCACAGTATTAATATAGAACCTGGACCTGATCTATAATCAAACTACACATGGACAGAGACCTTTACACTGGGGAGCTTTAAAGATTTTAACTAGGACTGTCAGGACATCCGATTTTCACTGCATTGTGGCCAAAAGAATTCACGATAAAGATATTATCCCGATATCTATAGAAAATTTGAAGCAAAACAAACCAAAATAATTATGCTATCGGTCAAATTCTTCTTGAGCTTTGCCAAGAAAAAGGAGACAAAACACACAAACAAATGAATTAGACTCAGATACAAGTGTCAGGAGGTGGAGAGAGTCTGTAACCATGACTACAAAACAAAAGAGAACAATTACACTTAATGGATGAACTGATAAACAAAAGATACACAAACACCCCTGATGTAAACACAGGCAGGGTTCAGGTGTCTGTGTTCTCTGTGTGTTAAGAAGGTTAAAGAGGAAGAGGAGTTAGCATGAATGATGATGACACACTGACTCATCTCAGATTTCTCTCCTGTCGTTGATCAGGTTGTTATCGTCTCTACACTGATGTTAAAGAGGCTGAAAGAAGCAGGTCAATCATCCGTCACAACTCATTAGAGTTATAAAAAAGAACTTTCAGGTGATTAAGACATCACTGAATATTTCAGTCTGAATGAGGTCATCAAAACAAGACACTGACACAACTCATGTGTCCTCATTTCACTCCTCTAGTACATAGTCTTTTTTTACAGTGTACTGTTGAGCCAGCGGAGTCGGGTAAAGTGCAACTTTAAAACAGTTCATCCCGGAGAAACGGCACAAAGTGGAGCGTCTTTAACTGAGGGAACATCTTTGGTCGAGTGGGGAACACTAGTGAGCCTGGTGCTAACATGAGGCTGTTCTCCTAATTTGATCAAGACATGAACAAAATGATTTAAATTTCTTTTTGTGCACAGAAGAAAAGTTCATGCTTGAACCATTGTTGAGAAATTCAATATGTTTCCCTTCAACACCCAAATGTACGGTGGCCCTGAGAGCTCAGGAAGTGTTTCCAGGGGACACTGAAAAGTGATGAACCAGTCTGGGACTTTGAACAACAAGTGCAGGTGTCCCTTGGAAACACTTCCTGTTGTGTTGTGAGTATTTGCAGCTCATGTTGTCAAACTGATGAAGATGTTTTCTGAAGTTGTTTGTGTTTTGTCTGTTTGAGTTAATGAGTTCATAAAATGGACTTTAAGCAGCGACTATTATATATATACTATTATATATACTATATTCCAACACGTTGCCGTAGTGACGGAAATCAAAGATCACTAAGCAACATGTAACAATGGCTACTTCACTTCTTCAGGAAACTGCGGACGCTCTGAACGCTGACACAATACGTCTCTTACAATGACCCGAGAGCTCTTGATATTTGCTTTAAAGACAATTTAATATCAGATGAGTTTGTATAAACCCGTCTGTCACTTCAGCACCACGGACAGCGTCACGGTTCCATCAACACACAGAGGATGGAGGTTTGTGCTACATGTCAGATTATCAGGTATCTTTAACAAATGCACTCATTATCCATAAAACTACTGACGGTATAACTGAATATAAACGAAATGACAGAGTTAAATGTGACAAAAACGTATAATTACTCGCTAAATCTTTAACGTATTACAGGGTACGGCGAACTAGTCTCTCTCCTGTAGTAGACAGTCGAGCTGCAACGTAAGGAAGTGTAGAAAGGCCGTAGCCGTCACTTCATCCGTCGCTGCATTGCGATAATACAGCGTACAAATATGGTCTCATAGTTTCACCAATTCACGCATTCATCTACTATTTTACTCACATGTTGCACTATTTTCATGAACCTATAGACTTCGATAAACACATTTCAAGCACCAAAACATCCACATCTGTAAATGTTCGTTTTCACAAGAGATTTGAAGAATTTCAAAAGCCAGGCTTCAGTTTTTCAGCATTTGGGCCGAATGACGTCTTTGCTCTGCGCCTCGTTACAAAAGGAGCCGAGACTGTTCTGAGAATTGTGACATAAAACACTCGGGTCTTATGTTATATGCAAGTTCCCTTTAAAAGGTGAATTTAAGAGATGAAGTAGGAATCAGGAAAATGCCGTCAGACCTCAGAGGGTTTTAATTAAAGTCTCTGTTTCCATGATGATCTGTGCTTGAACATTCAGGCAGGACAATGTCATGACAGTCCTGGGTTTCTGTCACACTTCGTCTGATGAGATTAACATGAACACTGTGTTTATCAGAACAATATGAATCAGAGTTTTTCTTGTCAACAGGCTGCAGCTTCCTCTGAGTGACCGGCTCCCACCAATATGGATTTGAATTCTGTGTGTTTGAGTGTTTTTTTATTGTGAAAATCTCCTTCCTGTGGCTGTGAGGAGGTGGACAGAACACAGAGCCCGGTGCAGTGAAACGGGGACAAAACGTTTAGCAGAGGAAACGAAACCTCCCTGTGTGCTGTGATAGTGCAACTTTCCAGCGTGTGATTAAATAATTTCTCATTGTTCTCACGTTGTAGGAGAGTAAATGGCCTCTTCTGGGGGGGTGGGGGGGTGGGGGGGTGAAATCAGCCTTGATTTTATCTGACTGTGCAGACGCGAGCAGCAGGAAGAAGACGTGTTTTTATTTTGTTTTATTTAATGATCACATGGAGAGCTTCACCTGAGCAACAAGTCCTTATCCGTGAATGTGTCTTGCCCTCAGCAATAAGGCAAACAATAGCTCTCAAAGCCCATTAAGAGAACCTCAATCCTCAGCTTAATAACCCTCTCTCCTTATGACCCTTTATTTCCCTCAATACAATACCTTTTTTTTTTTTCTGGCCAATCTCTGTCCACTCTCTGGCTTCTGTTAAAAGCACCTGCACCGCTGAGATACCCTTGACATATTCATTAAACGCTCGTAAATAAACATAATTGTGGCCGGTGGAGTGAAGAGCTAAATGACAGTAATGAGCTTTTAAACGCAGGCTGCTTCAGGTGACTGGTGAACGTCCACAGCTCTGAAATCTGTGGAGGTAATTCCTCCTCCCAGGAAGACGGCGCCGCACTAAAAGGACCCTCTTCAGAGCGGAGGGTTTCTTTTGTTCTTTCCAGAGATAAAGCAGCGAGGTTTTCCTCCTCACAGAGCGCTCTCCACGAGTCCTCGCCGGCTTATTAGTGTCGCCGTGTGTCAGAGCAGCTGAGCCTCGCACGGTTTTCAGTCCACAAGCTCAGCTCCTCACCCAACTCCCGGCAGCGCGTTCACTAAAAGACTTGTTTCCTGTCAGTCTGGATACTCACACAGCCAAGCAAATGACCAATTATAAGGCCACTGATTTTTAAATCCTACTCGTCTGTGAAGCACTAAATGGTCTCGATATGAAGCTTCCAGACCCTCAGGTTCACCTGTGGAACCAGCTTCCTGAACACCTGAGATCTGCTCCGACTGTCAGCTCATTTAAATCAGGGCTTTAAACATCAGAGTTTACTTCAGCTAATCATTAAATTACATTACTTTTAATCTTGTGTAATGTTTGTATTTGCTTGTTTTAATGTCTTTTATCATTGCAGCACTTCTTTTAAAATGATGCCTGATTTTAAGAAATCGTCATGACTTATTGAAATATTTTTATTCATTTATTTTTAAATTGCTTTTAAATGCTGTTTTTATCTTAATGTTGGATGTTGATGTTCGAGAGTAAACAGTCAAAATCTTTTGCATGAAACTCTCACCACCTCTTGAAAAGTGGGTTTAAACCATTGTGTCCCTTTGCAGCCTGAATTCATGGCGTTCACTTTTGATTTCAGTTTTGACCCAGTAAAAAAAAAATAAAAAATCTAAATCTCCACTGTTTTAAACCCTGATCTGTCTGTGCCGCTGTTCTTCACAGACATCAGAGCGTCTGTCCGAGGCTCGACTCTGTTTGAAAGAAAGATCAGAGCAGGTAGATTCTGGGTGGGGCACGGCTTTAAAGGAAAATACGGCTGTTGCTGTTACATATAAAACACTTTGTTCAGTGAACTCCAGGAATGACTTTTTGTGTTTAACTTAAACTGGATTTACAGTCGACACAAGGGGAGTCCGGGTGTAGGAGTCCGGGTGTAGGAGTCCGGGTGTAGGAAGCTGCAGTGGGCCTTGTGAACCGAATTTCACCCAATGACATCCCCTCCGAAAAAGCTGGAGGCAGCTCTTCTATACGATCCAACTCTATCGTGCTTCATACTCCCCACAGTGTTCACATCCTTTTATTTAGATTGTGAAACGCAGCAGGACTGAGCGACATCCAGGTCACTGACATTCTCTCACAGTGACGAACCAGACGAAGGTTTAAACTACTTCAATACAAGTGGTTGATAATGTACATAACTCCTGTCAAAGCTCCATCATATGTCTGATTATATTCCTGATGTGTGCACTAAAAGTCTGGAGGAAGAAGTTGCTCTATTTCACTGTGAGTGGGAGCGTCCGAAGATCTAAAACCTCTGGAAGGATGTTTGTTGTTTAATAGATGTTTTCCGACCAAAATCCCTTCAAATGTCAAACTCTGAGCTTGGAAGATATCAGGACTTTGTACAAACATCAGAACAGATTAAATATCTAGACTTCGGACTTCAAGCTCCATCACTGAGAACGTGGATAAAGGAGCTCTGGGACTGTGTCGGTCTGGAAAGACTAACTAACACCACTGAGGACGAGTGGAAGAAGATGCGAGCTCTGCTTCTCTTCCTCCAAACTCTAAATGTTTAGTGTTTCTTTTTGGTCTATTGAGGCCACCGTAGAGAGAGAGAGAGAGAGAGTTACCAGACAACACTAGCTGATGTTAACCACAGTCATGAGCTCCACCTGTCGAGTAAATGAAGTGTGCGAGTGAGTGGATGCGCATGTTTGGAGATGATGTCTTATCATTCTTCCTCCTCTGCCTCCGACTGGGAACCATAACTATTATCTCGGCCCGGTGAACATCAAACACCTGCTCACGGTGCGTTTATGGGACATTTGTGAGCAGTGTGAAGAACACACTGACATTAGGACACAGCTCATTACTCCGGGCGCTGGCTGCCCTCTCACTGTGGTGACAACACACTACACAAGGCTGCAGTGACTGTGTTTACTCAGGGTGTCCTGAACACAGGAAAGCCTCAGTCACACCTGACACGTTCACACCTGGAAGACACTCACAAACACGATCCTTCAGCGCAGCCAGAGGGCAACACACTCCACTCCAGCAGCTGTTTGCTCTCTTTTTGAACATCAGTGGTGTGTAACAGGCTGTTTTGCATGTGGCGCTCTGCTGCCGGCTCCCTCTGTGTCGTCTTGAAGGGTATTTTCCAACAACAGTGTCCGTTTACATGCTCATGATTTCAGATCTCTGCTTCTTAAAATCAGCTCAGAGCATCATCTCTCTCCAGACACAATCTCCAGGTGATTGCGGATAATCCACCGACTTCGCTGACAACAGTCTTCACAGGTTGACCAGTACAAGTAAAATCAGTTTCCAGTCTTTTCGATGTATCAGGTCTTGTATCAGGAAGGAGCATCAGTTTCAGACGAAGATGTCTCAAAACACTGGCACATGAAACCTGCAGTACGGTAGACGAAAGCTGTCACAGGTGGTGAGTGAGAAAATATCTTGGCTTGTGATTTGGGTCAACCAACTTCATGGGACCACTTCTAAGAAACTAAGACTCTGACCCAGGGCCTGAGGTGGCCCGGGTCTGAATGATTTCAGCTTCGTAGTGTGTCATAATTATAACAAGAGTGAAATGTGTTTTCTGTGGCAAGTTGCCACCGGTCTCCATCTGTCTGTCTGTTTGAATTCAGCCTCTTTAAAAGGTCCATCCAGTGTAAAGGTGTGTGTCCATGTGTAGTGTGATTATAGATCAGCTCTAGCTTCTATATTAATACTGTGAAAGTATCAAAGCCTCAGTCCACAGAGAAATGCACACAGCCTGTATTCAGAAACTGAGCCTTAAAACCAGCCGTCAGGACTTCTGGAACTTTGTGATGTCACAACAAAGCAGTCACCAAGCCCCGCCCACCTGGACCCACCATCCAAACCTTGCAGGATTTGGTTTCTCTGAGTGTTTTTACCTGAAATCTGCTATATTTTTATTGGATCACTCAGAAAACAGCCAGCTAATCAGAAGAGAGGCTCAGAGCCAGTACCAGTAACTCTCCACCTGAATCCACCCTGAAACTCCACCAAGCAGCTGTGTGCCACACTGTGAATACTGTCCTGAGAGTGATGAAGGACATTTGCTGGAGCTGGACCAAGCACTTGGCATAAATTGGGATTACTGATGTTCAGGCTGGAGAATGAGACTCTGGAGAATTTGATGACTGGCTCATTCACCTCTTTTTCTCTGTCTGAGCTCTTGTGTTTGGTGCTTGTGTGCATGACGCAGCCTTACCACCAGTCTCGCTGTCGTGGTAGTTCGGATCGAAGCCTCTCTCCAACAACTTAGACACTTTGTCCACCTGATTGTGCTGGATGAGGTCCATGAACTTCCTCAGATTGGCCTGCGCAAACCACACAGAGAGAGAAAGAGCTTTTACAGTGAGAAGAAAGAACAAACGGTGGTAGGTGTGAGAGAGAACTAGAGAGGAAAAAGACTAAAATAGAAGTTGAGACAGAAAGGTGTAGAGGGTCAAAAATAACCGAGGGTGAAAAGTGGAAGCGTTAGGAAAACAGTGTGAAACTGAGGGAGGCTCGCTGTTAAAGACGGAGGAATATAAGGTGGAATAAAAGGCTGGTGAAATCAGGAAGCAGGAGGGGAGATGACAGGATTCAGACTGTGGCCATCGTACGGAGTGAAATGGCTGCTCCTTTCTGCTCTGTTCCTGTCTGCTTTCTTTCCAGGCCGCATGATAAAAATAGATAAGAGAGCAGCTCCCCGAAGGAGAGAGAGGAGAGAAAATGAGGAGAGAAGAATGAGACAGCAGAAGAAGCAAAAGACAATGGGCAGCAATAAAAGAAATGGATCGGGAAGAGAGGAGGAACAATAAATGAGGAGGAGAACAAAAGTAGTAGACTAAAAGGTAGAGTCACATTGATCCCGATCCAAATCCAAGTTAAAGGAGCAGTGTGCAGGATTTGGTGAAGTCCAGCAGTGAGGCTGCAGAACTGAATACCCCTCCCCTAAGAGCTGGCTTTCTCATAAAAAATGATTTATACCGCTAATAGCTGTACATGATAATATGTAGGATCCCGATCCTACATACGTGGACTAGACTCGGGCTGATATTCGATAAGATCACACGATATTTATATCTATACTTTATACAGCTGCTCAGTGCTGATTCATGATATCTTTAAGAGCTAGCATTTTCATAAAAAGACAAAATGGATCAGGCTTTATTTTGCCAATAGCTAAGTATGATAATATGTGGGATCGGGCTCTATCCCGATCCTGTACATCAGCTCGACACATCCCTGCTAAGTGTCTTTTTATTGCTCTCTAGACTGTCGTATCAGTTCCTTTGACTTATGAATTGAAGTCTAAATATTTCACTGGGAAAGTGGTGAGGACAAAATAACAAAACCTAAAAATGGCTGACATGAGCAAGATGTCAGACTGAAACTGGATCTGGCTCTTCATACGGATCCATCAAAAATGCCTGAATCAGTTCAGTTCCTGTGAATCTGCTCAGTCATGTCGACTTTGTAGTTGCCTTTTAAAATAACCTAACACCCACATTATTATTAGATGTTATTAGCTTAACTATAATTAGTTTATTACTCACTGGTTTCAAATTCTCTGCGTACCCGATGATCATTTTATGGCAGCGATGGAGACAGTCTGTTTAAAATCAAAACATAATTTGAACTGACTGAGACAAACCAAACAGGTCTGACCACAGATACAGAGTCCCGCTGTTTAGATATCAACCTTGATGAGTCACTGCCAGTTCAATATCTGGAAATGTCAAGGGTTCACGCACATGGCCTCGTGTTTTCATGCAATGTTTTATTTAATGTAGCTGATGTGTCCCCTGTGTGTGTGTGTGTGTGTGTGTGTGTGCGTGTGTGTGTGTGAGAGTATATGTGTTTGTCTGCAGGCCCGGTGAATCAGAGTCTGGAAGAGGTGCCCTCCCTCCCTCTCCCTCTCTCTCTCTCTCTCTCTCTCTCTCTCTCTCTCTCTCCTGAAACAGGTTGCGAGGCTGGCGGTTGATTGGCTGTCACAGTGTGAGCCTCAGCCAACCACAGAGCTCCAGACTGCATGGCAAACAGGATTAGCTCCATGAAGTTGAGTCAGGCCAAGAAATGAGCAAGAATCGACTGCACATCGGAAATAAATGTGTGTTATAGAGGAGCCATATTTTCTGGCTCATTAGGTTTCAGAGTAAAAGTGTTTTCGTGTGGATTCATCTCCCTGCTCCACATTTATAAAACATGTTTTTTCTTTTTTCTTTTTCATTCTCCCTCCTCTCTGGTCGCCCGTCCTCGCCTGTAGAATTAGAGCAGCTGTCAGACAGTTTCCTAGTGTGCCAGTAACAGAGAGCTGCCAGAGACACTTATACTTTGGCTGTGCTACAGGATTACAGTAGCTATGGGACAGCAGCCCAGAGCGAGCCGCGTACACAACGACCGAGAGGCTGTAAATCTTCAATTTACTGTAGAGACTTTACTTCAATTCATGTGGGAGGAACAGAAACAGAGCGAGGGAGGGGCCTGCTGTTGACCTGACTCCCTCTGAGCAGCTTCCAAACTTAGAGATTTTCCTCAAACCACCACAGAAGAAGAGAAATAAGTCCAAACTGCCAGGTCAGCAAACACTGCACGCTGGCTGTGGGTTTTTCACCATCCTCTTCTTGTCACACGGTTCAAGCTGCCAAGAATTAAAACAAACATCCACAAACAGAGAATTCAATCTGTGAGAGCTCGTCCTGTTTTTCATTGTTTTAATCTGGCAGCACCTTTGGCGTGAAACAGTCATGGCCGTGCTGGTTTCACACCGCACTTCCCCGAGGCCAGTCCACCGTCAGACCGAGGTGGGTGCTGTTCAGCTGCTCATGCTAACTCTCCTGCTAGCTCGTCTTGAGCTGCCAACGTTTCCCACCATTTCAGAACTGAGCGATAACAAAAGAGTGATTCAGCTTCTTTTATCCGGTTTCTGAAAGCTTTTATTTGCCGTTCTAAACAGGCAGGTCGCTGCAGGAGGAAAATCCTCTGGTAGATAGAAAACAATGTGTTTTATCTTCCAAGTTCTACAGATTCTTTCCTCTTTTTAAATACCCATTCAACAGCTCCATTCAAAGTCTGATAATTTGATGTACACACTGGAAATGATCCATGCTGTTTGTTTTAGTGCCAAAATCAAGTGGGAATAAACATGTTGAGGTGATTGACACATTTGCATATTGATTGCACTGATACTGTCTCAGTTTGGGAGCCACAAAACACTGCACACTAAAAGGGTTTCATATACAAATACATATATGCATGTGTGTGTGTGTGTGTGTGTACCTTGGTATGAAGTTTGGCGATCTGTTTCTCGTCCACGTTGGGCTGCCGGTAGACTCTGCTCTTGTAGCGAAACTGTTGAGTGAAAGACAAATTATTTAAAAAGAAAAACAGAAAAAGTCTGGAGCAAAACAATGAGTCCAGCAAGACTTCTGTTAAATCCCTGTTCCAATAACAGCACACGCCTGGGACCTGATAACCTTTTGCTCAAAACTCTCTCAGTCTTAAGCTGTTTACTTTGTACCTGTGCGTGCACCTTGAAAGTAATTGTTCCTGTGGAAGGAGGATCACTGAGGGATCAAGTCTAAGATGTGTTTTCTTTATTAACAGCACACACATTTCATTACCTTCATGGCTTCTTTACAGGTGGACTGGTGGAAATTTGAAATCGCATCATGTCTTTTCTATAAAAGGTGTAGTGTCGGTTTGGGATTGTTTATTATAGAGAAGTGAATATATTTTCTCTGTCGATATGTTTAATTTTCAGGTGCATCAATTCAATTAGAGATTATTTGAACAGTTCACTGTGCTCTGTTGGACAGTAAACAGAAGGGATGGATTTTATAAACAATATAAACTTAACGAGATAAAAACAAACCTTGGTAAGAAAATGAGAAACTGTCAACTTTCAGGAAACACTGTTTAACAGCCAATCACATTAAAGAAATGAAGCCATTCTTAACCAATCATTTAAGACAAGACAGATTGGAGGATCAGTTTGAATATGAAACAGATATGTGATATAATTATTAACACTGTCCAACAGTGATGCGAAATATCACAAACATACATTTGAGAGTTCATCTTAACCTTGGGAGAAACTTAAACACTTGAAGCTTTCAGCATCATCTTGTGGCCCGACTCAGCAAATAATAAACTTTATTTGCAAATGCAAACTCAGCAAAGGAAGTTACTCAGTCCCTCAAGCTGAGATTTCATTTATTTATTCATTTATTTAGTTTTTCTCAAATTGGAAAAAGTAGTTTATGTCACAAAATTTAGGTCACACGATGACAACTCCATTCACTGATGAAGACCATGAGATGGAGTTGAAATCCAGGCATCATGCATGCATGAGGGATTCAAACTAATAAATGTAATTGATTCAAGATACAAGTTCCATGGCTACAAACATTTTACACTGCAAGATTTATACAAAGTTATTCTGACAACATGGAAGATTTCTGATTATATTTGTAATTTATTCCTTTAAATAGATTTTCCAGGCTCTGAATCTTCTACTGGAGATTTTTACGGTGACCCAGATGGGTCAACACAATGCAAAAGCCACAACACAAATACAAAAGCAACAACACAAATACAAAAGAAACAACATGAATACAAAAGCCACAACACCAAAGCAAAAGCAACACAAATACATGAACCACAACACAAATCCAAAAGCCACAACACAAATACAAAACATTCTTGTTGTGGCTTTTGTATTTGTGTTGTTGTTTATGTACTGTGTTGACCCGTTTAGGCCACTGTAGATTATAATCTTAAGGGACAATTGAAGCTAAACAGAAATACTGATTTACTTCATTTATATCATAATATAAACTATATATATGTATATATATATATATATCAATAAATAATAATAATCTGATTGATCAAGGGTTTACCTCCAAAGACGGGACCCCCTTGCTGATTGGCTGGGGGTACTCTCGAAAGATGCGTTCCTCGTCCAGGAACTTGCCGTCCCTCCCGTTGCTGGCTGGCTGGAAGAGCCCATAGTTGAGGACGTCTTTCAGGCTCTGATTGAGCGTGCACAGGATCCGCTGCTTGGCAACCCAGACCGTCGCATCCGGGTTGAACCGCATGCATTTCTGTTGGAGAGACGAAAGAGAGAAAGTAATTAGAAAGTGATGGCTGGAGTGTTGGCCGGCAGTCACAGCAATCAAACACAAATGAAATGCTCATCGTTGAAGTAATAACAAACAGGATGTAATCTTATCAACTTGCAACAGACACTGGACTTCAAACTTTTGATTGACAGATGCAAATAGGTTGGGACCTCAAACTGATGAGAGGATTAGAATAGAATCAGAGAACAATGGTGCCCAATCAAAATCGGTCAGACACATCCAAACCGCTCCTTTAATAACACAAACCCTGTCCCAGTTACGACAACTGAACCAGGGCTGCCGTGCACGACTGCCAAGTGTTTTTATTGTTTTATTGTCACTGTGCTATATGCTGAACAGGGCCGCCTCCCTCACTGAGGATGTATAATTGACACGACCCCTCTGCCCCCCTGGTCTTTCCCAGTTCCAGCTTCCTTGGGGTGGAAAAAAACATACAATGCAAGATTTATGGCCTCGCCTGAATCAGAGGGGATTATGGGCCCTGTGCCATGGCGTTCAGGGAAGTGTCTGTGAGTGTTTACAGCTGGATGTGCTGCTCAGCCGGCGATAGCAACGCTGCGTCTGTGATAAAGGCTGAAGGGATGAGCAGTCTGTGAACTCGGACTAACCGTAATCCTCTCGCCTGGCGTGGAGTGGGCAGAGGAGAGGAGGGGATGGAAAGATGAAGGGTAGAAGGTATACAGAAGCAGATGTCTGGCATCTGGCTGAGGCTGTTTGGACTGATATGGCCTTCTTTCCCTCTGCTGTTTTATTACAATGGCAAATTGCCATCAGCTCTTATTACTGCTGCCTCCTGAGCCCTCGACACAAGTTCAACTTTAACAATGTGTATGAAGCCTCAAGGGAACTGGGAACCAGTAGTTTTCAAAGTATAGGGGCAATGATAAAGGTGGAAGGTTGTTTCCCCTCATTCTTCATTAATAATATCTGTGTCTCCTCTGTAACAAAATAAAAGCATACAATGCAAAATCAGTAGCAAAATAAGAGCATAAACACTATAAATACATTCTTCTGCAGCAGGAGTCGTCAAGTCACTTTGGTCTTGGGCCAGTTTTTTTCTAATCCATTAGATGGTGGGCAGGAACATAATCAAAGGCTGATTCAAGAAATTGATTGATAAAAAAGCAACTGGAATTTGCTTTGTTACTGGTCACATGTGGCACTGCGGCCGCCCACAGTCACATGTCATACATATGACTGATTTACTGAACTGGTGGTCTGTCAAACAAGCAACAGATCCTTTGGAACTTCCTGCCAAAACTTTTCAGAATGAAAGCATTGAAATAAAATATTGCTGCAAAACAAACAAACAAACAAACAAACAAACAAAAAAAGAAATTTCTTTTTTTTTAGAGAGGAAGTGATTCTGTGGGTAACTGCCTGCGGCCTGATGCATGACTGTTTCTGTCTGGCATTCACTCTCAACATGGATAAAAGTATAATAAGCATCTTCTGCTGGTGGTAGATTCTCTAATTGGACATTATAGCTAATCTGGCGGGCCAGTTCCAGTTTTATGGCGTGGTGACTACAATGTCTTCTTCAGTGGTTTAAACTTATCAACTCTACCGGAGCAGTTTTTAGCTAAAAGTAAAATTCTGGTATTTTTCAAACTGGGTCTTATTCTGAAAACTGTGACCACTCTAATAGGTCGTAATAACTTTGCCTCTGTTGTCAAGATTTAGAAATGTGACTTGCAGGACAAGCAGTAAAAGCCTCCTAAAGCTTTCGAAATGAACTTTGATTTTACATCTTTCTATCGGTATCAGTACCCAGCCATACCCGTGAATGCTAACGTCTGCTACGTTAACTGACCCATGGTCAAAGTTTTTTAATGATTAAAATACTGTAATTTCCCTTTAGAGAAACAGTGAGATTTCTAGTTGACGCTGAAGTGAGTGTTTCCCTCCATGCCTTTGCAAAAACTATGACCAAGGCAACCACAGAAACAGAAAACAGCCGCAGCTCCATCCTCCAAGGTTCAAGTATTCAAAGCAACAGTCTGTGGAAAACTAGTTTGTCTTGTTTAACCTCAAGTTGGCCATTGTGTCCAATCTCTGAATCATTAGCCAGAAAAGATGGCGTCTCCATCTGGACATAAGAGCTGTGCACTGGCATGGAATGAGAGGGGAGATGGATGAAACAAAGTGAAGAGGACAATCTGAAGATTGTAGAGGAGCCAAGGACAGAAAAGCATGTGGGGAAGAGGAAAAGTCGCCACTCCCTGCATCTGTCTTCTTCTGTGTTGGTGTGGGTGGAGGAGAGGAGCATTGTTAAAGCTGCCACCAGTTACAGTCTGAAGGCTCAGAGTGTGATCAGGAAAAAAGTTAAAGCTCCTCCAGTGTAAAGGTCTGTGTCCATGTGTAGTGTGATTATAGATCAGGTCTAGCTTCTATATTAATACTGTGAAAGTATCAAAGCCTCAGTCCACAGAGAAATGCACACAGCCTGTATTCAGAAACTGAGCCTTAAAACCAGCCGTCAGGACTTCTGGAACTTTGTGATGTCACAAAAAAAACAGTCAACCAAGCCCCGCCCACCTGGACCCACCATCCAAACCTTTGCAGGATTTGGTTTCTCTGAGTGTTTTTACCTGAAATCTGCTATATTTTTATTGGTTCACTCAGAAAACAGTCAGCCAATCAGAAGAGAGGCTCAGAGCCTCCTCTCTTCTGATTGGCTCACCGACCTGTTGTTACTAGAGCTCCAGAGAGAAGCCTGAGAGAGGAGATGTCAAACTATACTGAGATGGTTTTTGGTTCTTAAAACCACAAATATATCTTCTTTTTGTTCAGCACTTCAAATAAAAGACAGAAGAAGAAGAAAATATTGAGCTTTAAAAGAAGATTTTTGTTGCCAGTATGGAGGTGGAGCCTGGAGGTGATTAGCCTAGCTTAGCATAAGCTGAGACTGTTTAAGAGAGGAGCTTTACTTTTTAGCCTTAGATAAAATCAGGCTAGCTGTTTCCCCCTGCCTCCAGTGTTTATGCTAAGCTATGCTAACCACCTCCCAACTCCAGCTGACAGACAGAGGAGATCATCGAACTCTTGCCGCATTTCCCAAAAAACTATTAACTATTCTGTTAAATGCAGATTCTACAGATACAGAGAGCGACAAGTGATTCTGATTAAAATCGCATCATATAAGAGGTCAGTCATTTTTCTTTTGTAACACATACAATGTTCTGACTGCAGAAGCTGACTTTAACATATATCACACACACACACACACACGTGCAGCTGTGTGTGTCTGTGTGCACTTGAATTATTCATCTGAGTTTGATTTCCAAGTGGACTGTGTGACTCAATCATGTGATCGAGTGGCACCACTGAGTGCTCAGTGATGAATGTGAAATCAGGAGCATTAGTGCATACATGTGAGAGAGCTTAGTGCACATGTGAACACAAACACACACACATACACACCTTCTGTCCTTGGAGTTAGCACCACCGAGCTAATTACATCAAAGGGTCATGAGTTCATCTCTGGGTCAACACCGTACCTGGAGGACCTAAACCCTCTGGATTACACTCGCACTTCATCCCTCCATTCTGTTCAGATTCAGGACGTTACAAAAGCGATTCTGCAAAGTGACTACAAAGTGCTCTGAAGCAGCTGCTAACAGCTGTGTGTTAACGTCGAGTTAGCCTCAGCGGGATGGAGTTTAATAAAGATGTGTTGGGGGAAGGAAATAGAAATTGAAAATGTACAAGATGGGATGGAGGGTCAGTATGAAGGAGGGAAACTCGGGGGGGGGGGGTTTGCATCAGGTGGCTGCTGCAAGGACAACTCTGCCAAGCCGCCGCCAACGCCAACTTCCTGCTCCCCTCCCTTTCTTCTTCTTGTGTCTTTCTGTTTTGTTCTGCCAGCGCATGATGGGGAAACGCTCACTGTACTGCCATGGACATCCAGTGTAAAGCTCCCCAGGGACACACACACACACACACATCAAACAAACACTACAAAACAAAGCTGCGTTCGCTAAAGATGAAACTACTGTACAGACACAGGCGGCACCTCTGGCTGCTCGTCCACGGGGAGTTACAGTTCAACACTGCTGCTCTTTGATGATAAACCTTTATATCCAAACCTTCTCTGGGAATGACGGTTAAGCAATATCCATTAACAGCTACAGTGCCTGTGCTATATGGGCGATGGGGATGCAGCTTACGGCTCACAGGAGCTACAGCAGTCATTCTTCAGTTGCTATAGAGGAAAAATACACCATGCTGTGCTACTCTACTGTAAATGCAGCACACCTGGGGCTTCATTAAGAGCAACAGTGTGCAGCTAATGATTGCACGGGACTGCTATGTAAATAAAACATTCATAATTCCCACTGTTAAGATTAATAAAACATACAGAACATTCGCAGATCCATTAATAAAGTTCTGTCTTGACACGTCAGATGTCAGTTTAAAGCAAATAGAATAAAGTAGGAGAATGGACGTTAAATGTGTTTAGTTTTTCTCATTGATGTGGACGTGTGCTTATTTTTATTTCAGTCCCTTGTTAGTTCAGTGAGGCTGTCGATGCTCGAGCTCATGAAAATGTATGAAACAAGTGTGGCGTCATTAAAATGCAAATACTATATGTGTCCAGTGTTGCACCATCACACACACGAGGAACTGAGCACAGCAAGCTTCCAGTACACTGCAGCACAACGGACGTGCAGGGAGGACAGAAACAAGTGTGTGAAGATCAGTTGTTTCATATTTTGTGAATTCTCTCTTTTTTATTAAAATATTTCTCATTATTCATATCAACATTAATCAAAAGGCTGTAACATGAAAGGATTCACTCAAGGCAACAAAACTCAAAGAGAATCATTTTCTAACTTGCCGCACTGCAAAGTTATTTTTTTTATTTATTTATTTTTTGCTTCTTTAGCTCAAAGTTCTGTTTTAAGAATATTTACTGTTCGGTTTAGTCTCATTAACCCTGTTTCCAGGAACAGTGGGGCAGGAATCTCTGACTGACACACAGCATGCTACCTGATGGAAAACAGCACAGTCAAATGACAAAAATGGATCATTATTTGTTTTGCAAATATCTATACGTGATAATATGTAGAATCGGGCTCTATCCCGATCCTTCATATTATCATGCTTAGCTACTGCCAAACCAACAGAAACCAATAAAAAGCCACTTAGCAGGGATTTCTCGAGCTGATATGCAGGATCGGGCTCTACCTATTTGTCTGTGTTTCCACTCTTTATGCTAAACTAAGCTATCCAGCTAGCTTCATATTTAACAGTCAGACAAAGAGAGAGACATATAAAATATATATTTACATATAAAATAAAACTGATATTTCATATATGGAAATTCAATGTATGTACATATATTACATTTGTGTATGGGAATGCATGCATGAAATACTGACTCTATAATCTGTGGGCAAACTAAACAGAAATCTTGGTTATTTTTCACTCACTCATTCACTTTTTTGTATAGATATGAGGTTTGGGACTAAGAATAAAATTAATTATGCATCATTTACCTTTCTGCTCCTCGTCTACCTTCCACTCATTTACATATTAATGGAAAACAGGATGACAATTAGAACAAGCTTCTTCATTCATTTACTTTCCCCTCTGGGTTTCCCCAGGTTTATTATCTTGTCGTCTGCTATAAACTGCCCCAAAATATTCCACCACACAGCCGGCTTCAGTTTTCTGAAGGCCGGAGCTGATCTTAACAGATTTCACTGATCAATAGTGAGACTCCATCTTGTATTATTGAACCGTGCTGCGCCCACACAGCGAACTGTCCCTGTTGTTGTTCATTTGTTCATCTACAAACTGCCGTGTCGACCTCACAGTTATTTACACTCAGACATTTCCCTGAAAGAAAGAGCCACAATAACACACACCATCACCTACGCACAGGTCTGTATATTTGTCACACACACACCCCCCCCACGTCGCCCACACAGCAGTGTGTAAGTCCTTTAAGGCTTTACGTCAAAGCGGAGATGACTGAAAGGTTACTGCTGTAACGAGCCTAACGCAGGTTTCACAGGCAGGTAATTAATATGCATGTCTCCTCTGAAAGCTTTGCTTGAAAGGTAAATCTTGTCACATTATTTATACATGAATGGATTATTTTTTACAACCAAACACTCAATGGTTACAAAGTAAAATAAAGGTTGTGACAATCCCACACAGAAGCTGGTTCTGCTCATGAGTATCTTAATATTTTTAAATTAAAATGAGAATGAAACTGATGGTCGTCTGTGTTGGAGGGTCTTTGTACTTCATCATTAAATCAAATCTCTGCATCTTTCCCACATCGTTTCTCCTGAGTGTTAAATCTCATGAGAAAGCTTCAGTCTGTTTATCTCTGAGTTTTTTATCTGAAGTAAAGATGTGAGTGAAGATGTTTCTTTACACAGTTAAAAATAATCACTTCTCTGAGAGGCCAGTGAACTTGTAGGTTGAGTAAACAGAGAGCAGAGAGTTGGAGCAGATGTGGGTCACTGCAAAGACCTTTAACATCTGGAGATGCAGCTTTTTGTTTACGTTCACACTGCAGGATTTACCTGTTTGTTTAATGGCTGCTGACACTGATTATAACCCACGGCTGAGACGCCGCAGAGCGCACAGCAGATTGAGAGGCTGCCCAGCAGCTTTCATACATGAACTATGGTGGCCCAGAGAGCTCATTCTGACAACACGTGCTGCAAATACTCACAACACAACCAATTTAGTGCAGCAGAAAAGCTTGTATATGAATGTTTTGTGCATTTTATGACTAAAGCATGAAATTTTCTCCGTGTTTCTATAAACCAGGAAGTTTAATTTTCAGACCTGACCTCTGGGGGAGGGCGGAGCCTCCTGGAGTAACGAGTGCTAGACCAAACTAGCATGTTAGCTTCTGTGCTAGCTAGTCATGTAATTCCATAGAACAACAGCCACAGCAGTAAATGAGGATCTTTATTAGAACAAAGATACAAATGATAATAATGGAGAATGGGGCAAAAACTGGAAAAATGCAATGCTGAGGTCAATGACCTCTCAAGGTCACCAGAGGTCAGATACAAACTGCCTCCACGTCTGTAATAAAACCTCTGGGTGTGAAGATTATACGCTGAAACTTTCGTGCTTTAGTCATTTCAATTATTTGGTCAACCTGCAACACAAACACACTGCAAATACACACAACACAACAGGAAGTGTTTGCAGGGGACACAAAAAAGTGATGAACCTGTGATGTGTTTGAGTTCGCTTTCTACTCAGAGGATAGAAAAGTGTCAGAGACACCCTGACTAATTCTCCAGTGGATAATCAATAAGCAGATGTCGACACTGAAAACAAATCCAGTTCACATCTCATATCGACTCCCACACAATCACACGCTGACACACATTAATACCCCCCCCATCCCCCACCCCCCCACCCCCACAGATCCTCACCGTGTGCTGCAGGTCGGGGATGAGGACGCGGATGACCAGCGAGTTGGTGTGGATGTCGTCCATGCGGTACTGCGACGGCTCGGCGGTGGCCCTTATGGTCTCGTAAATGGTTTCCTCGCGGGAGCTGTCAGAGGCGCAGTCGTCAGAGTAGTCTGAAAAGCTCTGGGCCATCTCATCCTCACTGGAGGTGGGGCTCCGGGGCATAGTCAGCAGGCCCGGCGGATTCAGCTGGGACATGACAAGGAGGGAAAGAAAAGGTCACACTCTCACAAAACTCCAACGGTTCATTAAAGAGAAGAGGGATTAAAATTTAAGAATCCCCTCCGCTCCCATTAGACGCCTTCAGTGGCTTCAGAGCGCCACCAAAGACACTGCTTGTTAGTTTGTTGGTTTATCCTCATACATCCTGCAGCGGCCGGTTCAGGAAACTCCCAGAGGAGAGAGAGAGAGAGAGAGAGAGAGAGAGAGAGAGAACGAGCAGCTTCACAGGAAGGTTCTGCTTCATTACAGTTCTACCGAGAACAAGAACCTCAGCAGGGCGGAAACTGCACCGGCAAGCAACTGCACCTGTCGACCACAGGCCCTACTGTACTCTATTAAAGTGAGGCGTCAACGTGATTTATGGATGAAGCGCACAACACCTCATCAGTCACAGCTTGTAGCCACGACCTGGATGGAATTAAGACATTTAAAAAAAAAACCTGAAAATCTACTGAATCTTTAAATTCAAATGGTTTTCTCATTAGAAACCTGCAGGGACTCGAGGTTCGAATAAAATCTGTTAATTAAATATCGAGCAGCAACATCACGGACGGTGCCTGCAGATGTTTGACCTGGAAGATCTAATGCTTCAATAATTTGACATATTCTAAAGTGAAATGCAGATTTACAGTGAAAAGAGTCGTTTCAGGTCGAAGGTGTTGACTGACCAGCTGTCAGAACTTAAACACTTGATCCCTCTGATGTGGACATGTGAACCTGTAGATCCACAGTGATTCAGAGCTACAATGATCCGTCAGGGACTGTTCACTTCCACTCACACCTCACTGTTGGATCATAGGAAGAAAGAGGAATCAATCATTTCCATCTGCTCCGACTACATCCTCTATCACACATGATATCACACGATATATAGAGACAAACAACCGCACCCTCACCGAACCAGGAAACTGGAGGAGAACCTGGAAGAAACCAGAGAACCTTCTTGCTTTGACACAATAGCGCTCACCACTGCACCACCGTGCCGCCCCCTGATTGATCAATCAACAAAATTAATCTGCAAATGTATTTCTATATAGTCACAGCTGGGAACACACTGCTGCGTCTCTGCTGCTGCGGCTCGCTCTCTCTCTCTCTCTCTCTCTCTACATAGAGTTTACAGGTTACTTGAATGTTGGATTTCTTATTATTATAAATTAATTTCTGATTTATCGGTGATAGAAAACGTCAGTAAAATCTCCACGTGCAGCTGCTACAACGGTTCCAAAAATATATTTATATTTTGTCACATTCAGATTCAGACTAGACAGAGAAACTATAGTGGGAGGAGTCAGTTTTATGTCATGTTGCTGGTGTGATGTCACTATGACATCATCAGGTCTTTTCTCGCGCATCACATGTTAAACGCCATGTGACGCTGAATCTCTAGATCATGTGAGGGAGGCAGTGTGTCGCTCTAACCCGTTAACATGGGAGCCGACATGAAAACCAAGACGCTAACGCAGGCGCCACGCATCCGGTGTGTTCCCGGTCTTATATCATTGTAAAATAAATGTCTTTTGACCTTTTGTCAGACAGAACAAGATGTTTGCAGACACTTTTTAAATGGAACAATTAATCAATTATTCAAGAAAATAACAACAACAACAATAATAATAATAATAATAATAATAATAATAATTCACTTGACAGCACAGGTTCAGCACTTCAGGTTTTTTTTTGTTTGACTTTAACTTATAAAAGGTTTCAAAAGTAAAACGTGCAACACGTGCACGAAACAAAATAACATGAGTCCTTCTCTTTAATGACAGAGGCCGGCTGGACACTCGACCACAGCGGCGTTGACACGTTTGGTTTTCGTGACAGGATCAACGCAATGGTTTCTTTACAAGAGCAGCTGATCCCTCCTTCACTTCTCATTAGGGGAACACTGGAGTGTTTGGTCTGAGCTCCTCACTCAGAAAACCCAGAACAGATGAGGCTGAAACAGTCCAGGCTGAGAGAGAGAGAGAGAGAGAGAGAGAGAGAGAGAGAGAGAGAGAGTGTGTGCGTGTGTGCGCGTGTGTGTCCATTAACTGAGGTGCTCGTCATTGTCCAGAAACCTGGACGCCGCTGATGAAAATGTTTTGGGATAAAACAGATAAAGGTTTCAGTCGATGGATTCACTCTGCTGCTTTTCCTGATAATAAAAGTGTTTTCTCTAAATGTTCCACTTCAAAAAAATCTATCAGAAAAGGATTTTTTTTTTTAATCGGAGAGAAAAGATAGAAACTCGACATGCGACTCATTTTAATGAGGAAATAAGGAAATTGCCAGTTTTCACTTTGAGCCATTTCTTTCTTTCTTTTTTTGCACATTTCCATTCTGACTTCCTGCTGCTGACGTTATACTGTAATATCAGTATCATTTTCTTTCATTTTCACGCTTTTCCAATCATCATGTGGCCAATTATAAACACACTCTTGGTCTACAGAGTGTTATGTGGACTGTGTGTATGTATATGCTTACGGCATCCTGTATAAACACATTAATTATGCAAATTTAAAAATATGCACAAATATATGAAAAAAATATACACAATTATAAAAAACTGACAAGTAATTTATTTGCATGAATCATGCTGGATGATTTTCTATGAGCTCTTATATCTGGTCACAGATTTTAGCTGCACTTGTTGTTGACGGTTTCTACACATTCAAGTGAAGGTGTAATTTCCACTGGGAGTGGTGAGGACATGTCTCCCTCACTAGAGTAAAGACAAACGGCCCTTGTTTGTCAGTCTGGAGGAAAAACAGCACATCTGTTCCAGGTGCCGCATCGAGACGTTTGTTTTCTACTGAACATCGAAACACTTTGTTCAGTAAGATAAAGACAGAAACAGACTGAGAGTTTGCTGTTCACATATGAAACATTAAAGTCCGCCAGAGACTCGGAGAAAGTGAGAGACGAGAGAAGAAGAGATTTGTCAGGGTAAACTAAACACAAATTTCCCAAATCCTTATGTCATTTTAAGGATAACAGCTGACGCAGTGTGGCAGAGCACACTGTCCTGCAGAAAGAGACGACGGCCATCAGGGAATATCGCTGCCATTAAAGGGGTGAACCTGGTCTGGGTCGATATTTAGTTCTGTAGCACGTGTCAAATTCATAATCTCAACCTTGGACCCAAGATTTCCCAGCAGAGCATCACCTGGTCCTGAAGCATCTGTTTGTGAAATATTATAATAATATTTTATTTATAGGCGCCTTTCAGGGTACTCAAGGACACCTTACAACACACTGTAAAAGATGAAACACAAGTGCAAGGCATAAATATAAAATCAATTAGAATAAATGTAATTGCATAAAAATAAATATGATTGAGCGCTGGTGTTGGAGTTGAAGGGAGTAGGCAAGTTTGAAGAGGTGTGTTTTGTATTATATATTCCAGCCATATGCAATATTTTTCATATTGGGGAAATAAAGAAACGCATTTCACTGCTCTACTGTACATTGAACCTTGGCATGTGATAAATAAAACTTTGAACTGCTGCTTAGTGGCAGCATCGCTGCTACCTGAAACATAAAAGACAATAATATGATTATATAATGTTAAAGGCTCCAGCTCCACACTTAATTAGCAAAAAAAGGTCAAACTTCTCCTTTAAAGCTCCATATTTTCTTCTTCTTGTGTGTTTTATTTGAGGTGTTGATCCATAAGAAGATATATTTGTGGTTTTAAGAACCAAAAACCATCTCAGTGTAGTTTTACATCTCCTCTCTCAGGCTTCTCTCTGGAGCTCTAGTAACAACAGGTCGGTGAGCCAATCAGAAGAAAGGAGGCTCTGAGCCTCTCTTCTGATTGGCTGGCTGTTTTATGAGTGATACAATCAAAATATATTAGATTTCAGGTAAAAACACTCAGAGAAACCAAATCCTGCAAGGTTTGGATGGTGGGTCCAGGTGGGCGGGGCTTGGTGACTGCTTTGTTGTGACATCACAAAGTTCCAGAAGTCCTGACGGCTGGTTTTAAGGCTCAGTTTCTGAATACAGGCTGTGTGCATTTCTCTGTGGACTGAGGCTTTGATACTTTCACAGTATTAATATAGAAGCTAGAGCTGATCTATAATCACACTACACATGGACAGAGACCTTTACACTGGAGGAGCTTTAATTTCCTGTCTTTACATACATTTAGTTAATATAAATTTTTAACAGAAGTTAAAGTTGCCCCCTCTTATGAAACCAAACCTACACCCCAACATGTGTCAACATAATCATTACACACCAACACAAACACACTGATTTACAAGCTGTGATTATCAAGCGCTGTGGTGTGATTGTCAGAGGAAATACATTAATGAGACACATTGCTCACGCTCACACTCAGGAGGGGGGGGGGAGTTAACTTCAACTGGCCGGTCGTCTCCACGGTGAATCCTAATGCTGAATTTCACCAGCGAAAAAGCCAATCAAACACACAAATAATTCCTTCTTGTCACATGAAGTGATAATTATCAGCTGATTAGCATGCTAATTCATTCATAGCCAATTCACTCCCAACAACAACAACAGCAGCAAACAGTCACGCCTGAGGACATGTCGCTGCACGGGAAACCGTAAATGCTGTTAATTTACGTCTTGGTAAAAGCTTAATTGTGTTTGAATTAAAAATTGAACATAAGCAGATTATGTGTAGTGATATTTACAGTGGGAGCTGTGAGCTGTTTTTAATTGGAGGGAAATAAAAACCAAGATAATGACACAGGAGATTTGCGGCTCATGTTTAAGCAGTGACCAAGTTTGAGAGTTATTAAAGCAAAAGGTGCCCGTGCATCGGAAGGTCTGACGCAACCTCGTGGTTCAGTCTGACTTTGGCTCTGATGACACTCAGCTGCTGACTGACTGACAGTTTTCAGGACATTGCACCATTCTACAGATCAGCCTCATTAACCTGATTCTGCAGCAGCACACGGCGACATCCATCAGGTTTCTAATGCACGACG